ATATATACTGAAACCTCATGCTGAGTTGTTCCATATCCCTTCATAGAGACCAATAACTAATAAAGCATACACACAAAAAAAATTTAGCATCTTTTCAAAGTATTTCTTTATCTGAAGCATATTTTATATTCCCATCCTCTATCCTACCTCATTTGCAGTGGGTCTCCAGCTAGTTATGTCATAACCATTTTATGTGATTACAACAAATTACATTTCAAATATGCACACAGAGTTACCTCTTAGAGCAACTTACATTTTATTAGCAATTCTTGTTTTCTGCATTTTGAGAGCTGATAATCAAGCCTTCAGTTAGAACCTAATAAAACCAGTTTAAAGACAGGTCTTTGGTAGCCTCTATAAACTGTAGACATGTAGGTGAATCATAAATTCATAAAGGGCTGTCATGTCCGGCTCTGGCGTTTTCTGTGCAATGGACCCCAGAATGAGTTTCTGCCTCAAAACAAATCAAAATGAAGCATTCTTTTTTAAAAAATTGGGTTGCTGCCCAGTCTTGTACTGCAACAGTAAATCTAAATCGTTGTTTCCTTTTACTATGCACAACTCTATGCTGGGAAATGTCCCTTTTATTGACGATGGCTGACTGTACTGTGTTGCATTGTCAGTATGTAGATGCTTCTTGTTTAAAATGAGGTATGGTTACTTTTCCAAATCTAGGGTTTAAATCAGAAGCATTGTATTATATTAACTAATTTTATTTTATTTTTCTTGTAGGTTTCTGAAAAGTATCTTTTCTGAAAACTCTGCTGCTTGGATTTCACTCTAGAGCTGTCTCTTTATAAACCCCTTTCTCTACCACGACCACCCCTCTCCCCCCAAAAGAACCCTGGTGTGCTTGCAGTTCACTCAACAACTCATCCATTTTTTTTTCTTTGATTTTTAATTTTTGATAGTTGATTTCTCTCCTCCTGATTTGCAGCATTTATTTTTTAACAGTTGTACCATCCTTACCAATCTTAATCTTTAAAGCCAAGAAATAGGGAGAAAAACTTTTCTCTTCTTGAACTGAGACCATTCCACAAATTGAAGGGCAGCCAACAGCATATGCTTTTTGCAAGAATAATTGAAAACATCAACTGGAGAGCACAGAATTCTTTTGAAAGTCTACCAGTTATATGAAGTAACTTTGGCAGAAGAACAAAATAAAACACTCAATATCTTAACCTTTACAGTTGCCTTCTTAGGAGTTGGTCTCTAATTTGATTTTTAGTTATTCTGATGCAATTTTTATTTTATGATTGACTTTCTGTTTGATTAAACCTCATTTGACTTAAATGAAAACCTAGGTGCTAACAAAGAAACATTTCACCAAAGCAACCTGTGATCTCTTTACATTTAGCTTGGATTCATTTTTAATTTTTTAACGACAGGAGTAATACAGCCCTAGAGAAGGTGCACTTGATTTTAATTTGCTTTCAATATGACGGCTGTCAATGTTACCGTGGTTCGTGATACCAAGTGGCTGACTTTAGAAGTCTGTAGAGAATTTCAGAGAGGAACCTGCTCTCGAGCTGATGCAGACTGCAAGTTTGCCCATCCACCAAGAGTTTGCCATGTGGAAAATGGTCGTGTGGTGGCGTGTTTTGATTCTTTAAAGGTGAGTCTCATCTAAATGTGCATAATAATTAATTTAAATATGGTGATTTCTGTGTTTTTTGAAATACGACTACTTTGAAATTGGTAAAGTTAATAATAGCATGATAGCGGTAAGTTTTGTTTGTTTTTTAAGACAAGATGTAGACTTTATGTTTGTAGAACTAAGCCAGACTAAAGTTCACCCCATCAAAGCCCACTGATCAAGGTCTCGAGATTGACTTAAAGAAAAAAATTTCAAGAATTTTTGGAGGAATGCAAAATTGCAGACTTGCCATACTTCTTTGTGTACAATTTAGGTTTTGAATACAGTGATCGTAATCCTCATATAACTCAGAGAAGCCCTTTACTGAACTATAGCTTATTATCTATGTCATCAAAATACACTTGGCAGGGAACAGTCAATTTTCAGAGGAAAAATAAAAGCAGACCAAGACAGTACAAGGTGAAAATCTCACTACTGAGAAAGAAAATGATAGTATTTTGAAATTTTTTCGTCAAAGTATATTTTGAATGTTTAACTTAAACATATTGCTACAAAACTAGGTTCACTAGTTTTTTCTTCCTGAACTGCTTATTGAACAATTACATATTTTCGAGTACATTTTATAAGAAAAGTTTTATTGCCAATGTCATCAAATCTGAATAATATGTACTAGAGAATAAACAAAATATTTATTCTGAGACCAAATGAGATATCTAGAATAGAACATGTATGATTGCAGAACAAGGAAATACACTGATTATCATGTTTTATTCATAGTTATCCTTACATTAAGGATAAAGAGGTACAAATTAAAATGTAGAAGTCAAAAAGTAAGATTCCTGGTTTAATTAATCAGATTTGCTAGGATGCATTCAAGATTATTTTTCAATATATGTCTAAATGAATTAAGCTTAATAAGAAACTTCTCAATTTCTTGATATTGGTTTATCCTCATCATGAACAATATTACCTCATTAACAGTTTTATTTAGGACTGCATTGGCTAATATAAATATATCCCTTCATTGATCTTTTCTTTGGAAAACATTTTATCAAGTGATATCCCACTTAAGTAATTACCTTTACTTATTTTTGGTTACTGGTTTTTGTTGCAGGCCATTCCAATTCATGAATAGAAACTTGTTATCATAAAGATAATAGTAATTCCTACTGTTGAAAATGTCTAGATTGCTGTTATTTGACTAAAGGGCTCATTATGTTTTCTTCATCTACAGTTATTTTTGTGTATTATTTAAATCTACTGCTGCAGGACTGGACAGTGCCACGAAGTGGAAAAAACCACTGGATTAGTTGTGGGGGAAAAGATATTTTTCATCCAATCCATATAGAGGAGTTGCCACTGCACTAGGCACTTTACATATGTTGTTTTGAGAGATCTAGGGTACAGTCCAACCCCACTACTGATCTCAGCTACTTAATCTGGTGAAGCTTGAGTTACTTCATCTCTAAAAGATGGGTAATTCTTCTCTACTTAACCTCTACAATTACTGTGGAGATTCCAATAAGATAACATAAATGAAAAACCATGTATCACTATAAAAGTGAAGTAAATGAAAGGTTATTTTCTTACTATTAACTAAGATGTTTTTTAGGAATCTTCAAAACAGTTGTATTTAGTTAGGATTTACTATTTAAAACCACAAGCTCATGCTCCAAATCTATATACCCAAATCTAGTTCCATGAGTGCGTTGTTAGATCAAGCTAAGTATCAGTTTTTATGGCTTACTCTTTGATACAAAGTTCCTTGTAAACTTTGTAAATTCTATCTGTCCAGGCATTTGGTGGAAGGAGTTGTGTGCTCTTCCTAATCATTGATATACTTCAGGTCAATTCCCCTATTAAGGCAATAGAGTGCCATAAAGGAAACATTTCGAGAAAAAGTAATATGGAAAGTGATTGCTAGCAAAATGCATACTGAACTACCACACTAAAGCTTGAAAAAATGTTTCAGAAACTATGTATATAATAGCCAATGAATAGTAAGAATCCACTTGATTATTTAAATATACTAATTACTGCTTTCAGTGTTTTTAAAGTAATTTTTGCATTATGTTAATATCTTGATGACCAATCACACAGATATAGATGATTTACATAAGCATTACATTCTCAAATTTTAATGAAAACCTTAATATTTCAAATATACGATGCCTTTTAAACAATTAATTAATTTGCTATTTAGATAGCACATTCATCACACTTCCATATCTGCACAAAAGCTTTGTAGTTCTCTTCTTTTATATTATTTCTTATTCATGATATACATAAAAGGTATACTAAATTGAAGGTAATTGACCTATGTGGCTTGTACTGCTATCATATCTATAATACACAAATAACATACCTCAATGGTTATTGCAGCAGTCATTACCCTCTCTTGAAACACCTTTGAACTATATCTGTGCATTGTTTCTTCTTTCATAAGTGGTTAAATAACTGAAGCAATCATTTGATGGGTTTTGGGCTGCTGATTTTGTTTGTTTTTTTGTTTTTGTTTTTGTTTTTGTAAGGACTCCATTAGCATGAGGTACTCTACCAGATGATGATGGTTCTTTGCTTTCATAATAGACACAGTAGATATAATGTCCTATATTGACCTCATAATGAGGGAATGTAATGAAAATAAGGAAGGCAAGCTTGACAATTAATTGTGCATCATACCGAAGTGCTATGCCCATCACTCCATGAATGTTGAATGATCAGTGATGAAGTTGCACCATCTTCAGACAGAGCTCTAGACAGTGCAGTGCAGCCCATAGATTTCCAACTATATAAAAGTCTTGGTTGATATGCAGCTGTTTTTGACTCAATTGCCTAGTCTGCTTGACTCAATTTATTTCAAAATTTCTCTCCAAAGTATTGCTTAACCCATTCTGTGCCAATTTCTTTATATTACAGTTTGCCATGGATCTAGGTTGGTATTTTTAATGAGTGTCCCTGGGAGTTAATAAAAGATCATCATTAAAAATACTAACCTAAAATTTTAGTGATTATTATCATAGCCAAGATTATTATCCTAATGTATTCTGCTTCAATGTCATGATGTCTTGAACCTTCCCCTCCATACTTGAAGCAGTGTGATATCAGCCACCTGTTTTCCAGAAAGAATATAAATACTGTCATTATTTCATTATGAGAGATCAACACCTATCACATATGCCCACCCCAGTCTCCACTTTGAGTAGTTTTGTAACAAAAAGTTATTGAGAAAAGCCTTAGCAGCTGGCACAGTCAGAGAACAGTCATATCAACCTGTATATATTCCTTAAATATTTGAACTGGGTGAAGAATGTACATAAAACAGCCGCACACTATCTTCAAACATTGCATATGATCACAAGCATAATATTTTCTCAAGTGAAACCTGTTCTATAGGCATATGAATGTGAATTTATCCTTGTAGGTCAAATTATCATGAGTCACCAGTATATTCTGTATTAGTGTCACTAGTCGTAGCAGTTTTCACTAGTTTAAAATTTGATTATTTTTGACTGAATATTTACCTCATCCCTATTTGCTAAGGGGAATCTTTCCAAGAGCAGAAGACTCCTAGCAACATAATCCCAAGGGTCACCGGATTATGCAAGGTTTAGAACCATTTACGAGCTCCATTAGAGAGGTCTGCCTGCACTATAGAAACACAAAGGCAGTACCTGTTATCCTGAGACTGAAGGAATTCAGTTTGGACATTTCAAAAGAAAAATGAAATTATGATTAATGCTTAAACGAATATATATTGATAGCTCAGCTTCACTTTTTTATTTTGAAATAATTTTAGACTTATACAAAAGTTGCAAAAAATTGTACATGGAGTTCTTGCATACCTTTAACCCAGGTTCCTGTAATATCAATAGTTTATGTACCATATATAGCAAAGTTATCAAAACTAGGAAATTAACTCTAGTACAATATTATTAACTAAACTAGAAGCCTTATTTGAATTTCACCAGTTTCTCTCCTAATGTTCTTTCTCTGCTCCAGAATCCAACCCAGGATCCCATATGGCATTTACTTGTCATGTCTCCTTGGCCTTATTCAATCTGTGACAGTTCCTTGATTTTTCCTTATGTTTCATGACCTTGACATTTTAGATGAGTACTGGTTAGTTATTTTGTAGAATGCCTCTCAATCTGGGTTTATTGAATACTTTATCATGATTTGATTGAGGTCATGCATTGTTTTGGCAAGAAAACCACAAAACTTATGTGCATTGTATCTGAGAGTACGTGATGTTGATGAATCTTATCATTCCTTATGTTAACTGTAATTGCTTGATTAAGATGATGTCTGCTAGGTTTCCTCACTGTAAAGTGATCAGTTTCCTTTTTGTGCAAATTGATAATATATTCTTCCATTATTATTCCCTACAACATGCCATTGATTGTAAGGGCCATCCCAATAACCAAGCTGTCAAAATGTAAACATTTGTTCATCTTAGAAATGATGGGTAATGCACTTTTATAATTATGGTCAACCAAGAAGGGAAGAGAGGAGAAATGGACTAAGAGTATGACAAAGAAAGTAGCAGCAACAGGCTACCAGAAAGAAAGAACACGGAGAATGGGAAGCCGAAGAAGTTTTGTTATGTGAATGTCTCTGTCACATACTCCTGTGAGGTAGGCCCTGCACTGGAGTCAGTGCCCATGGCTACTTCTAATTTATGACCCTCCTGCATCTGGAAACAGATTTTCTGCCTTCGTTTTCATGATAAATAACATTTTCCCTCGATTAAAAGTTATGTGTCTTTATGAAGGGAAAAGAAGATACAAAAGAAGTTTTAGAAATCATATACAAGAAGGTAAGAATAAAAATAAAATGTAACTAAATGTAAATATAATATCATTCCCACTATCCAATACCACCACTAACATTTCTATGTATTTCCTTCCAGTCTTTCTGTCTTTTATATAACTGTTGAATAAACCTTGCTTTATGTCCTGCCTCCTCACAGACCACGCTCCTTCACTCACTCCCCCTTGATGATCCTAGAAAGCCAACATCTCCCTCCATTTATCCTTCCTATTAGCTTCATGTTCTTCCCAGGTTACCAAAAAAAAGTCTATGATTTTAAAAGTCTATGATCTCCCATTCATAGACTTTTAAAAATATACCAGTTATTGCAGATATTTTTATGATCAGAAAATAAAAGTACACCCTTTCTAGAACTGTGATATAGAGAAAAAAAATTTTAATATAATTCTATTACTCAATGAAACTCTTCACATGTTGGTGCATGCCTTTTCAAAATTTCTTTTAATGACAACTATTTTGTTTAAAAAAAATATTAATTCTTTCCATGGATTTATAAAGGATTTTCATACTTGCAAAGGAATAATATTTTAGAAATATACTTAATTTAAAATATATCATTTAAATAATATGCAGCCATCAGAAATTATGTTTATGAGTAGTAGTATGAGTTTATGAGTTTATGTTTATGTAGTAGTAGTAATAATAATTATTATTTATCATCATCGTCATCATCATCATCATCATCATCTATACCTCCTATTGACTGCTTACTATATTCCAGAAACTTTAAACATGCTTCCTTCCTTACATCAAGTCTGTGTAGGCTTTACCATTGGATGAGCCACGTTTTGTCAGCTATGTTGTTTTAGATAAGTACCCAAACTCCTTGTCCCTAAGTTTCCTCACCTGAGAAAACAAAGATCATACTAACACCTACCTCTGGAGTACTTACTGAGCATTCAGATGAGATGATTCAAGTAAGGTGCTCATCATAAGCACTCAACAAATGTCTATTTTCACCAAATAAATTTCAGGTCTATTTTCACCAAATAAACACGAAAATTAAAATTAAATCATGACAGGTCTAGAAGAAAGTATAGGTGAACACTTTTATAATCCTGGGTGAGGAAGACCTTCTAAGTATGGCAGACTCAATAAAGGCAAAGGATTATTAGAACCGACCACACAATAAAAATCATTTCTGAATGGTAGAAAACACCACAAAGTTAGAAGACAAGCAATAATTTGGGGCAAAATTGACATATATGACACATAAAAATATTATTTATTATATAATGAGTTTATGAATAAAAAATGCAAACACTAAACACTATTTTCTTAGAAAAATAGGCAAAGGATATAAACAGCAGAGCAAGACAGTCTGATGTGACCAATTTATCCATGGGGACATTTTGATTAGCCCTGTTGACACAACTGCTTTGATGCAGCCACTGTGTTTCAGCTGTGCCTGTCACATTGCACTCCCCTACAACCTCCAGTTCAGAGGACTTGCACTTTCTACTTTAGTGCTTTCTGCATTATTTACGTTTTCTTTTATAAATGTGTAATTTCTAATAAGAAAGAGAAAAAACAAGAAAGCAAGAAAGCAAGAAAGCAAGAAGCAAGAAAGCAAGAAAGCAAGCAAGCAAGCAAGAAAGAAAGAAAGAAAGAAAGAAAGAAAGAAAGAAAGAAAGAAAGAAAGAAAGAAAGAAAGAAAAAGAAAGAAAGAAAGAAAGAGAGAAAAAGAGAGAGAGAAAGAAGAAAAACCTTGTTAAACAGGGCTAGCCTATAAAGGGAAATCAAAATCATCTATATCTATATCTCATTCATTCATTCATTCATTTATTCATTAGTTGGATAGGTACCAACTGAATACCTGTTGTGTGCCAAGCATTGTGCTAGGCATGGGATGTAGCAGTGAATTAGAAACAGTCCCTGCTCCCATAGAGCAGACATCTAGTTGGGGGAGGAACAGGCAAAAAGGAAGTAAATGTTCAGGTTATGACATATTAACAGATGTGAATAAAATTTAGGCAGGGAAAGGACAAAAGAATGGCAGAGGCTGCTGTTTCAGACAAAATGGTCAGGAAAGCCTCTCTAAATGAGGTGATATTTGAGGAGAGGCATAAATGAGGTGAGAGAGTGGGCTATTTAGGATTTCTGAGAATATTCCAGGCAAAAAGAACAATAACAACAAAGACCCTGAGGCGGGAGTAAGCCTGGTATGTTTGAGAAACATCAAGGTCACTGGAGCAGAGGGATGAAGAGGAGAGCTGTAGTAGATGAACTCAGAGAGGTCATGGGTAGTGGGAAATCAGGGCACGGGAGATTAAGTCTGTGTATATTGTGGTAAAGACTCAGAGGGGCAGGCACGTCCTGTGTGGCTTCAGATAAGGAAAGACTTTGGAAGATAGTGCTGGGCTTCTCTGGACTCTGGATATGTATCTTTTACCTGCTGTTTTTTCTCTATATCTTTTGCTTTAATAAATCTTAGCCATCAGTATAATCTCTTGAGTCTTGTGAGTCCTCTGGCAAATAACCAACAAAGCTTTTCTATACATTATTCTTCTTTATACATTATTTAGTTGATTATTTTTTTAAAAACTTTATTTTTTTTCCTTTTTATGAAGTTGTTTCTTTTTCTTTTTTTTCTTAAATTTAGTTTTTGAATGGATAATTTATTTTAATTATTTTTTTTAAAAACAACTGGTTCTCAATTGATTAATAGATAAACCAAATGTAGTTTTGTACAATGGAATATTACTGTTATAAAAAGGAGTAAAGTAGAAATATTGGCTACAGCATGAATGAACCTTGAAAACATTATGCTAAGTGAAAACAAGCCAGCTCAGAAAGACTACATATTGTGCAATTACATCTATGTTAAATATCCAGAGTCAGCAACTACATAGAGACATAAAACAGATTAGTGTTTGACAGGGGCCTTGTATGAGAGGAGAGAATGGATGAGGGAACACTGGAAAGTAACACTAATTAGTGTGAGTTTTCTTTTTCGGGTGACGATAATGTTCTGGAAGTAGTGGTAAATATACTAAAAACCACTGAGTGTACACTTTAAAGGGTGAACATTATGGTATATGAATAATATCTCAATAAAAAATAAATATAAAAGTAACCTTTATAGTAAGGTTTACCTATTATCCTTTTTTCTCCAGTTAACCCATTGACTTCTCAACCAATATATTTAGTTTTTCTCTCTCATAAATACTTTGTATATATACATGCAAATATGTACATTCCTAATATCCCCCTTTTACACAAATAGTAGCATACTGTTCTTCTTCTTGCATTTTTTAGTTAAAAATATTAAAAGTAAAAGGCTAGGAAAAGATATACCATGCTGACATTAATCAAAAGGAACCTGGAGGTGCTATATTTATATTAAAGATAAACAGAATTGAACACAAATACTGGGCTCTAGTTAGTAACTCTGTTACTCACAGGCATATGTAAGTACTTAATGGAGATACTAGGGTTAAACAAATAAGTGAATAGATAATAGATAAAGATAGCCAGGTTTCTCACAGAGAAAATAATTAAAGATAAGGAAAAAGGGAAGGCTAGAATGAATTCTGTGACATGGATTTAAATGAAGACATCAGTATGAGCTCATCTTTAATGTAATATGTATACAGATATACAGGTACAGAAATAGACATAGATGTGTGTGTATTCATGGGTTAGTATAGATGCTTATATTTTCTAGGTCTGCCTTTGGAGGACCTAGAGCAAGGACACCCCAATAATAATAAACACAGCTAGTTCCCAGATCCTGGTTTCCAATACCATTCTTCAATAAAGGAACCAGACTCTTGAAGTATTGGCTCATTCTGGATCAGGACAGGGCAAATACAAGATGAACTTGTTATGCCTTCTACCACAAAATAAGGAAGTGCTCAAGAAAATTTGGAGCATGACAAGAGGACACAGGAGCCAATCTGAAGGAGCTCCCACTGGCCACTATGTAAGAACCATGAAAGGTAAGGAAAAACTGAGAAACTGTCACATATTGGAGGAGACTAAGGAGGCATGACAAGTAAAAGCCATGTGGGATCCTGGAACAGAGAAAGATATTAGGGGGAAAATTGGTGAAATTCAAATAAGGTCTCTAGTTTAGTTAATAATATTGTACTAGAGTTAATTTCCTTGTTTTGATAACTGTGCTATGTATGGTATGTAAGTTGTTGACATTCCAGGAATTTGAGTGAAAGGTATGCAGGAACTCTCTGTACTGTTTTTGCAATCTTGTAAGTCTAAAATTATTTCAAAATAAAATATTTTTAAAAGTTAGCTCTTTTAGTCTTACACATGCGTCTCTGTCTTTTAATGCTCAGAAATACAGTGGGGTATTGTTTTCATTTTTCTTTCTTCTTTTTTTTTTAAATTATGAGTGTGATAAGGAGAAAACTCTGAAATTCATGCAATGGCTGATCCTGCAACTGACCACATCTAGATGGATGAATCAGATAATTAAATAGTCAAGAAAGCATTCATATCCATAATAGCACTTCACAAGCCTAGCAAATCAAGAATTTTGGCTGTAAAAAGAAGATCATTCAGTTCAAGTTGTTACCATTTACAGATGAAGAAACTGGAGAGCTGGTGAGGAAGAGTCACTTGCCTAAGGTCACTTAAGCAGTTATCAAAAGAGCCTGAGGATCAATGTTCTAGTCATTTCAGTGTTTTTTGTTTTTTTCCCCCTGTGGAGGAGGAAATGGAGTCAACATCAACTGGGCTGTTGTTTCACTAATCCAAGGCAACAGACTTTTATCACATTCAAACTGTCCCATATTACATAGGGATGCACTGCCTGTGAAGTTTTGTGGTTCTCCTTTACTTTTTGTACTTCAAAAGGGTTTCCTTTTCTTGTTCTTGATCCCTCCCTCATTTATTGTTTCATTATATTGTAGTTAGATTAACACTTTAAAGTTCATATTTAGTTATTTGGACTATTAATTTTGAGAAGGGAGAAGAGAGTGTGCTCTTTATTTTTTAGACAAAGTTATCTAATTTAGTGATACTAAGCTTTGTTTAATTGCTGAGAGTCAGGAGACTGAGCTATCTCTACTCCCTTGTCCATCCTTCTTCCCAAACCCTGCTTTGCTGAGTTAACCAGCCAAAATTGGAGATTATAACTGGCTGTGGATCATGTACATTTTCACTGCATGAAACTCTTTGGTGTCTGGCTCTGTTATATATTCATTAATACAATGCCCTGTCCAGCTAGGGGGATACCTGCCATAGGTCAGCTGAAAATATTACAATAACACTTCAGCCTCTTACGGGTCAAATATTGTTCTGTAAAACAACTTGGAATCTAACCCAGCTCATTTAAAATGTTTTATGGGAGCATAGCTCAAGATCATTTCTCTCTCCCCCTCAAAGCCAGTGCTGCAACTAGACACCTAGTGAGAAAGGACTCGTGATATGGCCAGAGATATTTTCCTCAACCACTATTAATATTTACCCTTTGTCACAGGAATCCCATTTAGTTATGAGAGGTCTGAAAATCTGAAGTTTGAAAATTGTGTACTATTTGTCAGCTCTTCTGTTTCGAAGAAACTTTACATGTTAGGGAAATATATACCTGATCCTATTTGATCATTAAATAATTATCTTCATGTTGCATATGAGTCATTACAAATAGTATATTTTTCTCTATTTTAAGTTTTTGTGAAATCAGGATGCAAGGTACTTCTCTGCATCTGGAAATAGTAATTATTTCTTCTAGAAACATAACTTTATTCATAGAGTATCGTTTACTTACTGTTCTTTTTGCCCTTACAGATTAACTTTTAGATCCATTAGATCTAGCAATTTTGGCCACATGAATTTAAATGTATGCTTTTTGCTTGTAGCATCTCTTAAGTTACCCTGTTTTCCTGTACCTCAGTCTGCTTCTTAATTGTTGACCTATAGGGTTATATATTCCAGAGGAATCTTAGTTGTCTATTGTTTCCTCATCATCTCTAAATAATCTTTCCATTTTCTTCTGTATTTCCTCCACTATGTAATCAGTCTTTGGTTTTTTAAATTTATGTTTTTGTTTGTTTGTTTGTTGCTGCTATCCAATCCAGATTTGCAATACTGCTTGGGTTTTCAGTGTGTGTGCATGTGTGAGTGTGAGTATGTGTGTGTGAGTGTGTGTGTGTGTGTGTGTGTGTTTGTGTGTGTGTGTGCGCGCGCGCACGTGCACCTTCAGTTCTCACCGCAGGGTCAAGTTTTACTATTAGATGTAATTATATGTTTAATCATGCTTTTCTCTGTGTTTCTTGATATTGTTTACCTAAAAGTTGGTAAACTATTTCATTTATTCTTCAATCTTTTATTTTCTAAATAATCTCCACTATTTGGAATTACATGTTTAACTCTCTAGAGTTAAATTATTTTTTCAATGTCTTCTTCATGATAAGTTTGTATAATATTGCTTAGTGTCATGTCTAATCAGTTATTCAGTGAAGTAGATATGTCTATAGGATGCATCAATTTTGGCCATATGCATTTAAATATATGCTTTAAATGGGATTTTTTTCTATCACAAGTGGGCATCTAATTTTTTCTGTTGACACTCAATTTTTTATTTATCCACTGGAAATTGGTAGAAAAGAAATTAGCCTTTTGTTCTTATCTATGTTCTTGTGGGCAGACACTGGATAGCGAAGGCAATTTCTACACTGTGAAAACTAGCCATTAGTTTAAAAATATAGAGTCCACAGTGATATAACTGTTAAATATGTCTTAAATATGACAAATTCCCTAATCTAAGACATAACTATGTACCAGTCATGATTTACTACGTAACTATATAGCAGTAAAGTTTTAATTTCTGTCTTTAGCATGCAAAAATTCAAACAGAAAACCTTTTTCCTCTGTAACTGTAAACTTTTCACCCATCTTTTATATGTCTATGTACATTGAGTATGCAGCATTGTAATATGAATGATCTCTTACTCAGTTCCACATACTTTTTGGAAACTGCATGTGTTAAGGTGACATTGTTTTAAGACTATATTGTCAAATTGCCTTAAAATTTTCGATCATCCTATTTGTGGAAGACAATAACACTGAAGTAACAATTTGAGACTGTTTAATATCTTAGGGAGCTTTGTGTTCTTGTTTTAAACATTTGATAAGCAGTTGTTTTTCTGTCGTTAATGTTTATAGTAATCACATGTTCCATTAAATGAACTTAAATATTTTACAGCTTTTGTAAAAACATAATCTCTAGAGTTTTTGCAATTTCTTTGTTATTCGCTTTTCCTATTAGCCAGGAAAGCATTCTATATAGAAAGAAATTCATTCTTAACTTCCAAACAAATAAAAAATTTAAACTTTGCCTGTCTAATTTTATTTTGCTAGTACCCCACTAGAGGATTTACTTTTTTTCCAGCTTGATATATAACATCGTGTATGTTTAAGGTATATAACATGATGATTTGATATAAATATATAAGGTTAGTTAACACCTCTATCACCTCATGTAATTAGCTTTTCTAATTTTTTTGTGATGAGAATATTTAAGATCTACTGTTTTAGCAAATTTGAAGTATACGATACAGAATCGTTCAGTATAATCACCATGCTATGCATTAGATATCCAGAATTTGTTTGTTTTATAACTGGAGGTTTGGACGCTTTGACTAATATCTCCCTTACCCATCCCCTGGTAACCTCCATTCTACTCATTGTTTCTATGAGATCAGCTATTTTAGATTCATCATGTAAGTGAAATTATACAGTATTTATCTTTCTGTGTCTGGCCTGTTTAACTTTTTCACTTATTTCACTTATTTTCACTTAATGCCCTCAAGATCCATCCATGTTGTCACAAAGGGCAGAATTTCCTTCTTTCTTGTAGCTGAATAGTATTCCATTGTAGATATTTTGAACTATGGTCTTATTTTTCAAAGAAGCCTTAGAAGTAGTCTCGATAAATGCTTCTTTATTGGGTGAACTACAGATGTAACCGTGAAAATATTTGAAACAAAGCAAGTGGCATAAACAGAAAATACTGCCTTGTAATAACAGCTCTAACAAGGGCTCCCTATGTGGCCTTGAGCAAGGCATGGTAATCGTACTACCTCTGTTTCTCTTCATACAAGAGCAAGCAGCAGAGGTCAATTTGTAGGAATATCGGTTGTGGTTTACTACAAAAATTTTATAAATGTCAGGGGTCATTTATTGCTGAAAGTCCTGTTAAATCCATTAAAAGTTCTGTATGCATTCAATTCCCCAAAGAAATGATTCATTCAACAAACATTTATTGAAACCCATTACTTGTTAGGCACAGTGTGCACAATAGATTATGAAAGATGTGGTCTCCGCCTGACCTCTTAATATGAAGCTGTTTGTGTTATTTGCCATAAGCCAGGTACAAACTAACTGCTAAAAGAGTCCAAGGGGAGAGGCAGAGGCTGGGATTATATCCAGCTGTGTTGATAAAGATGCCGTCATGTTAGAGGTTCTGTTTGAGGTATTCTTTGAAAAAGGGATAGAAAGATATTCCAGGCAGATGGGATAACCTTAACAAATACAGATGGAGAAAACTGTGATGTATGTTTGGGAAGTTGAATGTTAAGTCAAACTGGCTGAAGCATAAAGCTTATGTTGGCAGAGGAGTAGCCTCAAGAGTTAGTGAGGAGTTTAAACTTTATTTTGTAGCTCTGAGGAATCTGACAATTTTTAAGTAATGACATCATCAGCCTATGCGAGATGAATTGGTAGAACAAAAAAGACTGGTAAGAGGGAAACCTCTTAGAAAGCTGTTCAAGTATTGAAGGTATGAAATAATAAGACTTTAAATTAATTGGTGGCAGTGTGAAGGGAAAGCCAGTGATGTAGTTGGGCTCCTAAGAGAGGGTTGACATTCTATTTTAGCCTACAGATATTGTGCTCACTTTAATATCCGATCTCATTGAATTTTAAGTGAAGGTCTGCATACTTGTTTTGGTTTCACATTAGATGCTGTCTTGTTTACCACTGTAATTTTTGTGCTTAGCACATTAGCACGTATTAGGAATCTAAAAATTATTTGTTGAATGAAACATGAACTTGTTGAATCACTTTGAGAGAAGAAGAGTAAACATGGGCTCCCTTAGAAGGTGTCCCGTCATCTCTCTATTTGCATCTATACTTCCACCCCCAGTTCAGTTTTTACTTCAATGTGAATGAAAATTGTATACACACATGTGCCAACTTTCCTCATTCAACTACATTTTAACATAGATATGATGATCTACAGATTGCTAATTTTCGTGAATTTAATTCTGTCCCTTAGCATTATAGAAATGTTCTTTGTCCAGAAGCCATTGGTCGGTCTCCAAATGTTGCATTTTGTGCGCTTTTATCCTATATATTGAGTTTTAAAACTTTGCTCAGTGGCTATTGTTAAATATTATTTTAAAGTAATTAGTGTGATAATTTAGTAATATTCAAGCATTACTTTTGCCTTCAAATGTTTAAAATTGAATTTTATAGCAGATAGCTAGCTTGCAAATCAGGATATTCTTGGAAGCATCATTAGTGCTAATAATGTCATTCTGAGTCAAGTATACAGTCATAATCTTCAGAAAAGGGTTTTGTGTAAAAGGTGACTGCCTAGT